TTTAGTTAATTCTGACAATTATAAATAATGTGTGATCCAAAGTTCTATGAAGAATATACATCTATATTAAAGATCCTACAGACTAACCTTGGTCAAGTAGAACATTGTGACTGTGGAAAATAGAATGTTGCAGGTTGAGAGAGAAAATTATCTTGGCTGGTTTTAGACTTTTAGTAGTCACTTACTTTTAAACCTCTGCATCCAATCTAATAATCTTGTCACTACTACATAAAACTCTTGGGATATATCACTAAATTGATCACACCTCTGGCTTCCACCAATGCTAAAGATAAGAATGCTGAAGAAAACATCTGAAACTTAGAAGAGCTTTCCTGAAACTTGCCACATTGTTGACCATACCAATGTATTTAGGAAATGCATTGATTATTACTCACTGCTCTTTGTTCAATATAAAGGTTTCTTCAATATTTCCAAGATGGAACACTTTGATCAGAATAATTTGAAACCATGTCTCACTTTTATTTGACTGTTAATGACTCTCTTTTACTCCTTTGGAGCAAGATCTATTTTATATTGGTAAAAGCAATAAGTCTAAATCACAGTATCTCAGGAAAATGAAACCACAAGGTCTACTACCTCTCTAATAGATGTACATAATAAGAAATGAGAACAAGGTAACAGAGAAATTGAAATGAAATTGAATAAAGAACATAAACACAAATAGTTAGATTGAAAGACTGAGAAAACTTAAGATAAAACCTAAGCCACAGCAGTGTATAACTAATATATTAAGATTTTAATGTAAGAATGTCCTCAAATGGCAAGGAATATTGTAACATATATTATAAAAAATCTGTTCATTTTAAAGTCAAAGTTAATGAGTCATCTTGTGTTATTATTTACTCAATTTGGCAGCCTTGTTAAGAACAGATCACTGTGTATATCTCATACTAATTACTATTATTATATTCTTTCCTCCCATCTTCACATGTTATTCTGTTGTTCTGATTTAACCTTCATTTGTGATCTCTTATTTCTGACTTCATTTGGTGTATAGAATTTTGCAGACTGTTGCCACCGGATTAACATTTTTTTGGTAAGCGTTTAGTTAAATACTCGAGCTTGGCTGCTTCCAGGAAAGAGCACATAGTTTTACAATGTGTTATGCACAGATAATGCATTTTTAATTGTGAACATATTTATTGAAGGTGAAAGAAGTATTAGCTGTGTTCTCATGGGTCAGTAATTGCAAATTGAGGAAGGCATTTCCGAATCCTCATTTCTTCTACTATATTATTTCTCCTATTTTTCTGTTGTCTCTTCCTGATTGTCTTTGGATTTACCCCTCTCCACCTTTCCTTTGCCTCCAATTCCCTTTAGGTTGAGCCAGTACTTGAGAACTCTCTCCTCTCTTCATTCTTAGGTAAATTTGCTCCAAGGTACCCACCTTCTTGACCTTTATTTGCTGCTTCTCATTTATGCGAGTGGCCTACAGTCAAAGCAAAGAAAGGTGCTAAAAATGTACACTGCACAACTATCAATACTCACTGTGCGGTTGCTGCCTCTCCACAGAAGTGTTTAATGTCTCTAGGCTTAAAGGTAGCAGGTATATGCACAGACAAAAGCATATATGATAAACTTCTCAAGTCTAATTTGCTTTTAAACTGTACCCAGGATATTTTAAGTAAACACATCTTCTCTGTTTGTAGACCTGCCTCTTCCTCAGAAATTCTAATCTCTTCTAACCTTCCACCATTCAAACAACTGCCAGAAAGCTCACACTAAATAGAGCAAGGACTGGACAGCAATAGCTCATGCCTGTAATTCTAGCTACTCAGGATGCTGAGATCTAAAGATCACGGTTGAAACCAACCTGGATAGGAAAGCCTGTGAGATTCTCATCTCCAATTAACCACCATCAAAGGGGTACTGTGGCTCAAAGTGGTACTGGCCTTGAGACAAAAAGCTCAAGAACAGTACCCAGAGCACGTGATATAGCCCAATGCTAGGACACTTACCTCATATGTGCAATGCCCTGGGTTTGATCCCCAGTGTTTCACCACGATTGAAATGTTCCTTTAATCTTATGTTCCAGCCCTTCTCACTCGGGCCCTATTGTCAGTTCCTCTTTCAGGAAACAATCACTTTCAGATATCAGACCCCTAAGTGCTTTTTCCTTTAAAATTCTACCAAGGTAAAATATCAAAAGACTTAATTAATAATAAAATAAACACTCAGGAGCCACTGTGTATTTTGAAAGTTGAAGCATTTCAAGTAGAATTAAACCTTCATACTCGTCTCTCGACTATAATCCTTTATTTCAATCCTCCCCTCTAAATCCTGGATTTGCTTTTGTTAAGGTTAAGTAGTGCAAATTATCCATCTTTATTTTCTCAGCTTTGAACATAAGTGTAGACTTATGCTGATGCTATTGATTTACATTTATTTAAATTTTATATAAATGGAGCGATACAGCTTTCATTTCTATTTTTTATTGTTTGTTGTGCCAGTACTTGAGCTGGAACTCAGAACCTTGCACTGATGAACATTTTTTTGTTTGTTTTCATAGCTGGTGTTCTACCATTCAACATATATTTCCATTTCTAGCATTTTTTCTGGTTAATTTGATTTCTGACAGCTCACATTGTGGAGGTACTGAAGTAGGTCTGTTCCTGATAAACTCTGGACTCTGGCAGGTAACATTGCCTCAAGAATACCCTGTAGTACAAGATTATGTTCAAAACGAACTTCACAACTTTGGCAAGGGGGTGGGGGTAGTTGTGGAGGTGGGAGGGAAGGGATGGTAGGGAAAAAATGAAGGAGGAGGCAACAATGCTCAATAGGAAATGTGCTCACGTAACTGTAACCCCTCTGTACACTATTTTTACAATAAAAAAGGTACCAAAAAGAATACCCCGTGAGCCTGCAGAAACTCAGAATTTTAATATAGTCTGAAAGTATCCCAATCCAACATTCCTTCATTCCCATAGCACTTTCCCTCCACAGGTATCAAACTGGACCACTTCCTTTCCTTTAACTTCAGATGTTCTGCTAATAAGCCGATTGCACTTCTAATTATATGTTGATGGCTGCCTTTTGGAGCAATCTAACAGATACTGTGTTTGGTCAAAAGAGTTTTATGATTTTTCTTCAAAATCTGTTTTCAGATTTTTATGAGAATTTCCATAATGGAAGTAATGAAGTATAAAAATATTAAGGTATTTAAAAATACTATCTCTTAATGGCAACTCAGAGTGAGAGATTGAATATAAAAACCAGTTTATGTCCACGATTACTTGCCTAACTTGCCTGAAGCGAGTAAGGGTCCTAAATGTGTTAGGTTAGACTGCCTGCTGGATATATAAAACTACATTGCCTGTCGTCAACCATTCTCATGTAGCTAAGACTTAGAGAGCACAGATCACATAGGGAAAATAGCAGGACAGCTGATTCTTGCCTGCAGACGAACAAGTTTAGTAGACTGGCACAGCAGGAAAACTGAAGGCTGGCACCTTACCTCAGCAGTACTGAGAAGTCAGTTTGTGAAGCACAAAAATACTCACGACTTGAAGGAGATAGGATGGGTACCAGGAACAAACGTCTTTTGGATTGACTTTCTGGTTCAAAGCTGAGTTGCTAGACACACACCTCCAGTGCCATTGTCTCGTCTTCTCAACAAACTGGTTCCTGTTGATGACATTTACCATAACGAGGCCAGGATTCTAAAAGTAATGCATAGCTGAGAAACCATTGCAGGGACAAAAAGCTAAGGAGAAATCTCTTCATAGTTAATTCCTATTCAACAAATCCCCCTAAAGGACTTAGGGATCATTTAGTGAATTTCATAAATTTATGTGAGATGTTGAGAATAAATGGCTTCCTTTGCTTATTGACAAAATTTTGTTTAATTTGAATTCTGATCTAATTTTGAGGCAGGGCGCTTTGAATAATCTATAGACAGAGAAATAGAGCGATCTCTTCCACTCAGTTGCTGCGTCTGGGAATAACACCAGCTTCTTAACTCTAAGGGTTCTCGGTGCAACCCCATCCTTATAATACCCAATGATGAGAGCTTGGATCCAAACTGCTCATCCCATATGAACACTGCCCAACATTCCAGTATCCTAAGTGGCTTTAAATCAACTGTTGTTATCCCATTTTTAAAACCAGTTTGAATTTCTAATGAGCTCTTTCTTTTTGCCAGTTCTGTCACTATTTCCCCTCTATTCTAGAAGTCTCACTCTATCAGTTGTAACAAACACCTTAAGGCCAATCTTTCATCTGTTATTCTAAGGTCTGTATCAGAAAACAGTGTGTAGTGCCTGGGAAGGTGGCTCAGTGGTAGAGCGCTTGCCTTGCATGCATGAGGCCCTGGGTTCACTTCCTCAGCACCACATGAGCAGAAAAAGCCAGAAGTGGCGCTATGGCACAAGTGGTAGGGTGCTGCCTTGAGCTGAAGAGCACAGGGACAGCACCCAGGCCCAGAGTTCAGGCCTCACAACCGACCAAAAAAGAAAAAAAAAAAACAGTGTGTAACATTGAATGAGGCTTCCAATGAGCAAGACCATCAGAATGCCATGTATCTGCATGGTAATTATTATTATACTCATGTTGTTGACATGGCTGGTAATTCTAAGGAATATTGCCTAAGCTTATACAACCAGTAAACTACCAAGACACAATGTCTCAATTTGAACCCATGTCCTTTGTACTCCTTCTCTGGAACTTTACACTTATGATATAAGCCAGGTGACCTCTGCATTTCTCTATTCAACTACCACAAATTGGACAGCCTTATTATACCATACCAAATGTCTGATATGGTATAATAAGTAATTTTTCCGTGCTATATCCTTTGCTCTTATTCCTAGATCTTTCCACCTATTTCCATTGAAGCAAAAGCTACTGTTTTTGAGACTCTACCATTCTCAAGTCATTGAACATTCAGCTATCAAACCTTTTATAACTAATTTATTATTATCCCAATCTGTCTGCAATTTAGGTATAAATGTTTTATATTATCTTTTAATTTATTAAAATATGCTGTAAGAAGTCATAAAATGTACAGAGAGCCCAGCTAATAGGCCCTGGCATCAACACTCAGCGAAGGTCATGCCTTTTTGGCTAAGCAGATGCTTAAGGCATTTCCAAGCTTATTTTAAGGTTCAAAAATGGAATTTTACTGCCAGGATGCATCCACACAGGACTTGTATAAAGGGAATGGTAAGAAAGCAATGACTGATACTTTATGAGAACAAATACCTTTTTATGGTCTATTAACAATTCCCTGCTTGAACTAGTAGTTATTCATATGATCTTCTAAGTGGAGCATTCTTTAAAAGCACTGGACTATAAAATCGTGCGTTACATTACCTGTAGGATAAAGTGATAAAATAATTGATCTGTTGTCAAATGACAGCTGGAGAGATACAACAGGATCAATGACTTTGTGAATCAAATGTATAGGAGGGAGTAAAAGGGGCTTGAGTTTTCTTCCAGAATGCTGAATGAGTATACTAGAAAAGGCTGATATTTTATTTGGATCTAGAGCATTTGTGACAGCAGAGAAGTTGGGGTAGAGGGGTTGTAGATTTTATGGTCTCTCTTGACATGAAAGAAATACAATTGTGTTTTATTAGACAAGAATATTCAGGGGGGTTCCGGGAAGATGGCGGAGGAGAAGCTGGAATCTGAACAAGCTCTTGCATAGAAAACAGTTTCAGAGTTCCAGTGAACAGTCCCAAGCCAGAGAATCACACCAAGTGTGCCATCACAGGACAGAGAGTTAGCCAAGAGAGGGGAAGCCAAGCAGACACATCTGAGCTTCTGCCAGCAGCTGCTGCTGCGGCGGCAGGGTCGCAGCGGCGACCGCAGCCGCGGCCATACCTGAGCGCTCACACAGAGAGTCCGGGACGAAGGAGCCAGACGCAGCGGGTGAGCGGATTCTACTCAACACCAGCAAGAACCGACAAGGAGCGGACAACTTCATCCTGCACTTTGCAGACCAGAGACGACCCAGGATCCAAGACTCGGCATGAGTAGCCCCACTTCCTCACTCCTTCCCAGGGAGCAGAGGAGGGAAGGCCACCCCTCCCCCCCCCAGCACCGGTGATCTCCATCTTGGATAGCGACAAAGCTCGGAGGAGCGGCTAGCTCCAGCTCAGGCCTTGGAATAAAACGAGTCATTTAGCAGGTCACAAGAACTTAATGGCGAAGTGACCTCACAGACTCAGTTCCATCCAGGGAAAAGTCACCCAGCTCAGGCGCCAGCCATTGGAGTGGCTCTCCTCACCGGGTAACCAGAGCCAGAGGCTGCCCCTCCCTCTAGCAGCCACCACAATCAATTGAAAAACAGAAACCCTGAGAATGGCTCCAGGCTGGGTGCTGTGAGTTTTTTTCACGAAATAGCCCCAGGGAAAAGCTACTGTTTGTTGAAAGGCCTCAACTCTACCCAGAACCTAGCCTCATCACTGCATCCCCCTCTTTTGTGATTCTCAAAGCAGATCACCCTCCCAGTAAACTAACCTGGGAGGGGGAATCTCAAAATCTTGGGTAAAGCAGAGCATTTTTCTGCCTGTTCCAACAAACTGACTTAAGAAACCAATCAAGCCACAGGACTTCAAGCCGACCAGAGACTCCAACCACACTCTGGTTACAGACAAAAGGGAGATACAGGACTCTTCCCACCCCTCCCAAAAAAAAAAAAAAAAAATCAAAGAACTTTTTTTTGTTTTTTTTTTTCTTCTTCTTTTCTTTTTTCTTTTTTTGTTTTGTTTTTTTTTTTTCGTCCTATGTTACCTTATATATATATAAAAATTTTTTTTTTTGCTTTTCTAAAACTTTTATTAATCCTTAATTTTTGCCTCTTCTGAAAAAATAATTGTTTTCCATTAACTTTTTTTTTTCTTTCTCCTCTTATAATTTTTATTTTAGGAATACGTGAATGTGTGTTTTCCTTTCTTTTCTTGTCTTCTTTCTCTTTTTCTTTCATTCTTAATTATCTTTTTGTTTTTTGTCTAGCTCTACTGAATTTCTGATCATTTCTTCTCACTCTCCTATCCTTTCCAACTTTTCCTCTTTGTTCTTCTTTATATAACTTAACTGTTGTTCTGCACATCCTCAGATAAACCCGTAGTTAACCAGTAGACCCTATCCCCCATTGTGTACACACTTAATCCACAAACTTATTACTCAATTCAAAACCTCTGAGACTTAAATTCATTAATAGCAGTACTACCTCTTTATACCTATATAATATTTTAAGCATTTTTTTAAAGTTTTTCACATCTCCTCTATGTCCCTCCCTTTCTCTCAACATATTCATATTCCTCTATAAATAGATGGTCCTTTAATCTCTAAAATAACATTAATTTTTACGTTTCTTTTTCTTTTTCTGGTCTCTTTTCATTCCCCTTTCCCTTTCTTCTTTTTCTCTCTCTCTCTACTTGCATCCTACCCAACCTATTTCCTGCATTGTGATTAGGACATAGTTAACTCCTCCTGTGCCTCCCCACACCAATCTATTCCTATTTTTTACCCACATCTCTCCCTAACCCTAATAATTTCTGGTTTGCCAAATTCTTCTCTGCGGTTCGAAGCCCTTTAACATATAGTTGTTTGATGTCGAATAGATGTATCTGTTGAACTAGATTGTATCTGTAGACTATTGACTGTACAAATGCAAACTTTGGTTGATGGTTGCCTTAAGATAGTGTTCTAGCACAAAACTGGTGCTATCTTCATCTCAAATGGGCAGAGTAAGCCGGAAAAACACAAGAAAAATGGCAAATTCGGGTATCTCAATTCCCAATCTTGATAATCAGGGGTTAGAAGAGATAATGAATAATCCAGAGGAGAGTTCCCAAACAGCTCTACAAACACTGCTGGCAAACATGATAAATGAAAAGTTTGACAACGTACAAAGGACTCTGTATGAGCGTGATAGGGAGCGAGAGGAGGCATCCCAGAAGTTTATACAGGAATATCATAAGCATGAGGAAGCTACTCAAAAACTGATACAGGATTTGCGTGAACAGCTTGAGAATACTCAAAGAGAAAGGGAGGAATGGCGTGAGCAGGCTGAGAACACTCAAAGAGATCTGCAGGAATCCCACGAACGGGAGGAAGCTAATCAAAGAGTAATACAGGAATTGAGAGACCAGGTAGAGAACACACAAAGATCACTAAAGGCATTCATGGAATCCATTAACAAAGAGCTGAAGAAAGTCAGGGAGACCACAAAGGGAATGCTGAATGGAACCCAACAGAAGGAATGGGAGCCCAAAGAAACCATAACCAATCAACTAAGTGATTTGAGGACAAACACTGAACACCAAATTAAGGAAGTAAAGAAATTCATACAAGACCTAAAACAGAGCTTCAACAAAGAACTTGAAGCCATCAAAGCTGACCAACTAGAAGGAAAAGAGATAAAGAACAAAGTAGAGAGTCTTGACAGCAGGTTAGACCATGCAGAAGATCGAATCTCAGGATTGAAGACAGCCTAGATATTATAGAGAAAGAACATACAACCATCCAAGACAAGTCCAAGAAATATGATAGATCTATCCAATACCTGGAAGACACCATCAGAAGGCCTAATCTAAGGATAATGGGTGTAGAGGAGCACCTAGAAACAGAAGTTAATGGTCTAGGAAATTTGTTTAACAGGATCCTAGCAGAGAACTTCCCAAACATGCAAAAAGATAGGCCTGTCCAGATACAAGAAGCCTTTAGAACCCCAAATAGACCAGACCAGAATAGGACATCCCACCGCCACATTATAATCCATACAGGATCAACTCAGACCAAGGAAAAGATCCTTAAAGCTGTCAGAGAGAAAAGGGTAATCACTTATAAAGGGAAACCAATTAGAAACACCTCAGATTTCTCAGCAGAGACAATCAAAGCAAGAAGAGCCTGGAATGATGTATGCCATGCCCTAAAAACAAACAACTATCAACCAAGAATACTGTACCCAGCTAAACTCTCCTTCATAACTGAAGGCCAAATAAAAACCTTCCATAGCAAAGAAAAATTGAAACAATACATCTCCACCAAACCAGCCCTACAAAAGATTCTTAAAGATGTCCTACACATAGAAAACCAACAAGACCGCAATAAAGGCCAAGAAACTGCACCCAAACTGAGAATCCAAGAACCATAGGAAGAACCCAGTTTTCGCAGCCCCCAAGAAGGTAGATAACATGGCAGGAACTCCCAAATACCTCTCAGTCCTATCTCTTAATGTTAACGGACTGAACTCTCCAATTAAGCGACATAGACTGTCTAGTTGGATTAAAAAACAAGACCCTTCTATCTGCTGCCTGCAGGAGTCACACCTTGCCCGTAAAAACAAACACATTTTCAATGTTAAAGGCTGGAACAAAATCTACCAAGCAAACGGACCGCATAAACAGGCGGGAGTTGCAATCCTAATATCAGATAAAATAGACTTCAAATTAAAATTCGTGAAAAGAGATAAAGAAGGTCGCTACATACTAATTAAAGGATGTCTCCTTCAGGAGGATATTACAATTCTAAATATCTATTCGCCAAACAATGGAGCACCCAAATTTATCAAAGAAACACTACTTTCCCTCAAATCCCATATAGATCCAAAGACATTAATTGTTGGGGATTTTAACACACCACTCTCCCCACTAGATAGATCAACTTGGCAAAAACTCAACAGAGAAACTTCAGATCTAAACAGCTGCATAGATCAACTAGACTTAACAGACATCTACCGAACATTTCACCCAGCAGCATCAGAATACACGTTTTTCTCAGCAGCACATGGAACGTTTTCTAAAATAGACCACATTTTAGGCCACAAAGCAAACTTGTCTAAATTCAGAAACATTGAAGTTATACCTTGCATTCTCTCTGACCACAAGTGAATAAAATTAGAACTCAACACCAAAAGCCACCAAAGAAAGTCCAGTATCACATGGAGGCTGAACAACACACTGCTGAATCATGAGTGGGTCATGGAAGAGATTAGAAAGGAAATTCAAATGTTCATGCTATTCAACAAAAATGAACACACAAATTACCAGCTCCTCTGGGACACAGCAAAGGCAGTACTCAGAGGCAAGTTTATAGCTCTGAGCTCCTACATCAACAAATTGGAGAGATCTGAAACTAGCAATTTAATGACGCATCTAAACCTCCTTGAAAAAGAGCAGCAAGATAAACCCCAATCCAGTAGACGGAAAGAAATAATCAAAATTAAATCAGAATTAAATGAATTAGAATCCAAAAAAACTATAGAAAGAATCAACAAAACAAAGAGTTGGT